TTCAGCCACACAAGTAGGTATAATTAAGAGAAACCACTCAAAAATCTCTTCACAGAACAGAGCTCTGCTCAGGTTGACTCTATCCCGATTGCATTCAGAAGCAGCTGGCAACTTCCCAATCTCTCTCTCTCATATGAGTGAAATCATATGGTGGTTGTCTTTTTCTGACTGACTTATTTCATTTAGCATAATACTCTCTAGCTCCATCCATGTCATTGTAAATGGCAAGAGTTCATTCTTTGTATGGCTGAGTAATATTCCAGTGTGTGTGTATATGTACATATATACCACACACACATATCAGGGTGCATGTATCCCTTCGAATTAATATTTTTTTTATTCATTGGGGAAATATCTAGTAGTACAATTGCTGATAGTTCCATTTTAACTTTTTGAAGAACCTCCATATTGTTTTCCAGAGTGCCTGCACCAGTTTGCATTCCCACCAATAGTGCAACAGAGTTCCTCTTTTTCCACATCCTTGCCAACACCTGTTGTTTCTTGTGTTGTTAATTTTAGCCATTCTGACAGGTGTGAGGTGATATCTCATTGTAGTTTTGATTTGTATTCCCTGATGATGAGTGATGTTGAGCATCCTTTCATCTGTCTGTTGGCCATCTGTCTGTCTTCTTTGGAAAAATGTCTATCCATGTCTTCTGTCCATTCTTTAATTGGATTATTTGTTTTGGGGGGTGTTGAGTTTTATAAGTTCTTTATATATTTTTGATACTAACCCTTTATCAAATATGTCATTTGCAAGTAGGTATACTCAAGCAATCACTCATAAGCACAATTTCCAGCTATGTTCACTATTAACTCATAACTCTGAGGTTTCCAGTCTTCAGGATCCTCCTTCCTTGCACTTTAAAGGCATTTAGTTGTCAGGATCCTTTAGAATCTTCTCAAAAATTTATGAAGACGAGAAAGTTTGCTTGCTTCAGATGCCAACAAATGTGTTGCTGGGGCCTAGTTTTCAGCCCTTCTTGTAATACCTAAGGGGAAGGAAAAATTCTTCCTTTACCATTCAAGCTCTTCCAGCTGGACTAAGAATTGATGTGAGACAGATTTACAGGAGAAAATAGTCAAAGTTTTATTATGTGCACACAAAGGCCCAATAATGAAATTGATTCCTAAAGAAATGACTAAGGCAGGCAGTTGTTTTTTTGGTTTTGGTTTTGGTTTGTTTGGTTTTTTTTTTACTTTTCAGACAAAGAGGCAATAAATCTCTGAGGAATTGACAGGACCAAAAAAACTTTGAGAGTTTCCATTAGTAAGGAATTCCAAACATAATTTGGACTGCAGTTGTTGTACATTGGTAAAAACATCAAGGATTGTTTTCTCAGCCTTCTCAGCTCTAAATTCCCTTTGTCTGGTGATAAGGATGTCTTTTTTCCTTTTGGTACAGGGAGAATACCTTTCACAGGGGATATTTATTTCCTGCTTTCAGGGAGACAGAAGACTGTCTGGATGTGTTTCTTGTACAGTCTGTCTCTTAAGTAACTTTTATTTAAAATAACCAGTATGCCGGGGCGCCTGGGTGGCTCAGTTGGTTGAGCTTCCAACTTCAGCTCAGGTCATGATCTCATGGCTCGTGGGTTCAAGCCCCACATAGGGCTCTGTGCTGACAGCTTGGAGCCTGGAGCCTGCTTCAGAGTATGTGTCTGCCTCTCTCTCTGTCCCTTCCCTGCTTGCTCTCTCTCTCTTGCTCACTTGCTCTCAAAAATAAACATTAAAAAAATAATAAAATAATTCTGTACTGAGAGCTCTCTGCTTCCAATTCTGTGTCTCCCTCTCTCTGCCCCTTCCCTGCTTGCTCTCTCTCTCTCTCTCTCTCTCTCAAAAATAAGAAACATTAAGAAAAAAGAAAATTAAAAAAATACTAAAATAAAATTATAATAAAATAAAATAAAATAAAATAATCATTATGCCAAAGTAGCCCATCTTGTGGCAGTCTGCCCTTGGCACTCTATATACCCTAAGAGTTCCCTTGCCCCAGTTCAAGTTGGAATAAGCCCTTACAGATCCCTATCTTGTCGTGCATTTTCTGGTTCCACTTAGAGGCAACAGGATCTTCTAACTCATGTGTACTAGAATATTTCGGTTCTCTAATGCTGGCTAAGGCCTTAAATCCAAGTATTTGCAAAATGGCATAACCTGTCTGGAAATACACCTTCCTTTTGCAGGCATTATATTCACTTCCACCTTTTAGTCAGAGACCTCCACTTACCTTATTAAGTAGTCAACCAATCTGCACTGATCATTACAATGGTGTCTCCTGAGTAGCATGTTGAACGAAACTAATCTCTGCAGTTGCATCATTGATTTTACATCTAATAAAAATCCCAAGTATTTATTCTCATGAGTTGTTCATTTGTTTTTTAATGTGCTTTTCTACCTGAGCATGTGTCAGTGTCCTTAATTAAAACATTATTCCATATATAGTGATAATATTTTAATAACATTTTTAGGGGATTCTGGATTTGCAGTTCCTTTTCTTTCCCATCCAAAGATTTTGTTTCCTTTCTATTTCCCACCCCCTTCCACCTGCCCTGTAAAATCTTGTAATTACTAATATTATGTACCCTCTGGTACCATGCTTTGAGAAGGGCACATCACCTCTCTGGTATCATTCTCAACAATTCATAACCTAAATCTAATCGTATAAAAAACATGGGGCAAGCCTAACTGGGAGAACCTTCTATAAAATCGCCAACCAGTCTTCTTCAAAATCTTATAACTCCCATTTCGTTGAACAAACTGTCAAAAGCACATATTCTATAAATTTGACAAAGATTAAAAATACCTGAGAAAACATTTTAAGTTAATGTTTCATTAAATCAATGAAGTGATTAAAATTTTACCTGCCAGTTTGCCTAAAATAAGAGTGTACAAATAGTTTTATAACACATTTCCATCTCTTCTCTCTGCAGGCGACTCAGCTAATCTAACCTGCAGAGCTTTCTTTGGGTACAGTGGAGATGTCAGTCCTTTAATTTACTGGATGAAAGGAGAGAAGTTTATTGAAGATCTGGATGAAAATCGAGTTTGGGAAAGTGACATTAGGTAAAATATTTTTTTCTTTGAACTTGTACAGTCAAGTTAACATTAGCTCTGTTAGTGAATAGAAAGTGAGCTAAAGGAAAATAAATGGGTTTTTGCAATTTGGGGGTGGGGGTTACTATTATAAGAAAAATATCTCAACATTTAATGGCAATGACACTATTACGAGACTGACTGTGGAATTGCAGAACATGGATGCCATTTGCAGAGAATTTAAAGGAAATTAAAAAAAAGAGTTTTTCACTAAAGAATATACTGAGTATGAGACAGACCAAAATACCATCAAATGTGGAATGTGATATGATATTGATATGATATTATGCCTTTTGTTTGTAAGAGCTCTTTTTTTAATTGTCACGAGGAAGTTTTGACTCAACCAAACACAATCTTTGCCATTTCCTTTTATATGTTTTTTACATATCTTAGCCATTAAGCAGGCTCTACAACACTTGATAGGGATGATAAAGGATACACAAAATATTTTCATTGTCTTTTTTAGTCCGACTTTAAGGTCTAAATATTACTCTAGTGGGAATGATAAAGAATAACCATTAAAAAAATACCATCTATTTTGAGGGCAGAATGCTTAAGCCTCTTTTTTAAAAGTATTTATTTGTTCATTTACTTCCAAGTAAGTATTCAATTATGACTAAAATTATGCTTGGACATAGATACTCATTTTTAATCATGGTGTAAGTAAGCAGGCACATAAATAGTAATTAAGTTACAAGTGAGTCAAAATGCTGATCATGTGTAAACACTCTCCCATCTAAAGGTCGCGTCTTCTGGGTATAAGTGGGCATGTAAACCAAGATTCCTCTTCTTAAATGCAAAGACTTTCAAAACTTGATCAAAGGTATAAGTGAAAAAGTTTTTCAGTAGAAAACAAAAACGTATAAAACTGTCATATAGGGTTATTTCTATTGGGATCTTCTTCCCGGCAACAAATACACAAGAATATTGTACTCCAGTTGGGTTCTGAGATGCCCAGATGGGCAATTCTCCAATATGTACTAAACTGTTCCTCTGCCATTTTTCATATTTACAACTTCACTATTATCTTTTACCCACATACTTTGAAATGTTAAAGTTAAGGAAGGACAATAAACCTCCTAACTTTTCCCCTCTCTCTTTTTATGGGTGCTCAAGAAAGATTCCAGAAAGGTATTTTTCTTTAAATCAACATTAGGAAGTAATGTACAGACATGAGTCACCAAACAGATCAGAGGACATTGGAAGCAGGGAAAGGGAGCCTTGCTTGAAGTTTTCTATTTGCTCTGAAAGATTAAGAAAATCTTTGACAAATGAGGTTAGTGCTTACCGTTAATTTTAGTGTCAGAATTAAACACTTCATCAGAATACTTAGTCTATAGGTTTATACTTTCACATTTCTTTTAAAATCGTCAATTGACTTGTATGTATCATTTTTTAAAAAATGCCAGGCTGGAGCTTTCGAACGAAATGTCAGAATAGCTCAGAAATGTTCTCTTCTTCCTTTAAAGAAGAAAAAACTAACCTGTCTATAATTAGTCCTCCAGCATGAGACATTAGAATTGCTTCTCTCACCTTTAGCGTATCATATTTCTTAGAGGGAGAGCAATGTGTAAACTTTTCTTCAAGGTCCTTCTCACCTCTTTATCATGCCAGTGTGATTGTCCTGCTATGAGAGATAATTAACTGCAACTTCGTCAGCATGTCCAAAAACAAGCTTCCTCATTAGAAGTGAAGAGGAAAAGGGCACGATATAATTTAATTAAGATAGCGTCAATCCCTAGCCAGATTTGAAGCATAGATGCTGTAGGTATTTTCCCAGCACATTCAGATTCATCTAAATTTTTTTTCTTTTTCACGTCTTGTGTATGTTTGTGTGGGGTTTTTTGTTTCGTTTTGCTTTATATTTTAGAATTCTCAAGGAGCATCTCGGGGAACAGGAAGTTTCCATCTCATTAATCGTGGACTCTGTAGAAGAGGGTGACTTGGGAAATTACTCCTGTTACGTTGAAAATGGAAACGGACGTCGGCATGCCAGTGTTCTCCTTCACAAACGGGGTGAGTGTCACCTTCTAAGCTTGAGTAGTCCTGAAACTAGAAAAGAGAGGGAAAGAATTGGAACCAAAATGAAAAAAGGTGTGATTTTTCTACCTCAGTTTGTCCTAAATAAAACAATCACAATAGCATTAGGGCCATCATGGCAGATAACACAGTGGGAGGGTGACTAGCTCAGGATCTAGAGTCAAACATCGATTCTTTGCTGGGCTTTACCACCAAATCTAGAAACTTGCGGGTGATATCTCACTTCCCTAAGCCTCAGTTTCCTGATCCTCGCCAGCCCATGATCAACAATGGTAGCAACTCTTCAATGTGTTTTAAGGATGAAAAAAGACAAGAAACATGAAGAGCTTGGCACAAAACCTGTACACGAGAGAAGTGAAGTTAAATGCTGCTTATTATTGTTACAAGGAGGCAAACCAATAAAAAAATAACGGGCGTAATTTTAAGTCACATTATGTTCTCTGAAGGTTCCTTCTTTGGTGTAAGAATCACGACATTGTTTTCTGCATTAAAGAGCTTTCACATGCGTAATATTTTCTCAGGGTTAATAGGAATTCCTTAATTACTCATTAATGAATTATTCAATTATTACTATTAATAATTTAAGTAAAACAGGTTGTGATCAAGTGTGATATCTGCTGCACTAAATGTGATTCCGCAACAACCCTTAGTCACAGGGTTAAAACATGCATAAATATAGATTGAATTGTTTCCAATTAGAGCCTGTTGAAAAACAAAATTCAGCTGAGTAAATGTGAAGATCTAATTGGCTTTATTAAATGACCCATTAATGAGGCAGAGCTGAGGAGCTGCACAAAATGGAAGGCTTTTATAAGAAGGAGGGTGGGGCAAGAAATTATTAACAAAAGAAAGAAAAGTATTGTTTCAAGCCAGGATGGCTTCCCTAGGTAGGTGGGAGACTGGGAAAGGCCGGGCTTTTTATCATGCAGATGACCTCCCCTGTGCTAATCAAGTCATTTCAAATTGGCTTTTAAAAGGTAACATTCCTGGGGCGCTGGATGGTTCTGTGGGTTAGGCATTGACTTCAGCTCAGGGCATGATCTCAAGGTCATGATCTCATGGTTCATGAATTCAAGTCCCGCATCGGGCTCTCTACTGGCAGCACAGATCCTCTGTCTCCCTCTTACTCGCCCCTCCCCTGCTCACAATCTCTCTCTCTCAAAAAGGAATAAACATTAAAAAAATAAACAAAAAAAAATAAATGAATCAAAGGTCACATTTCTGAGATAAGTCCCAACCATAATTAAGTCTTGCTTTGCTGTTGGGCAGGGAGGCAGATAACTCCACTGGGGGCTTGTTGTTTTTGTTTTTGTTTTTGTTTTTGTTTTTGTTTTTGTTTTCTTTTTTAACAAGACCGTTGTAGACTTAGAACCATGCCTTCACTGCAGAAATTTTTCATGTATATTACAAGAGAAATATGGGTTTTTTTGTACATTATGCTAAGGGAAAACTTTCCAGTTTGGGGAGTGAGTACACTTGATGTTTTCTTACTCAGCAAATTCATAATGATTTTAATTTCAAAGCACATGTTTAATCCTAGACTCTTTGAGGTTGAAAAAGAAAGAGAACCTTGAAAACTGTTCCCCCCACTTCATCGGGCAATAGATTCCCTTTGAATAATGTTACTGAAAGATATTAAAACAGACACTTCTGTTGTCAGGTTACTGCAATATTAAAATAGTCTACCTTTGGAGGATGTGAGTGGAGGGGAAAGGTAAGGAGCAGGTAGCAATGATTGTTCCTTTCTTTCTATAGCTTCACATGAAGGAATTGAGAATAGGAATGTTATGCCTATAAAAGGACAGAAATAGCTTCCCAGGGTTGGAAGCAACTTAAATGTTGTGTAACTGAACCACTCCGTAACATTTTCCTAAGGGATCTGTCAGCTTATACTGGATCACATTCCCTCTGAAGGAAGCCAGGTTCTATCTCTAGAAAAACCTGTTAGAAAGCATCCCTGTTTCACTGTCTGCCCCTTGACCCGAGTTCTACACTTTTAATCTCTCTTCTCCCAAACAGCCCTTCAAAAGTTTGTTTACTATCACCATGATCCTCCTGAGCCTTTACTTCCCTGGATTCAACTTGTTTAGTTTTTTTTTTAATTTCTTTTTCCTTTCTGTGGATACAATACTTTGACCATCCTGTTCACTCCCTTGAATATGCTCTAATTAGAGTCTGAATTATTTCTCAAGAAGAGAGAAGATATAGGGCACCTAGAAAAATCTGTTGACTTAGGGCACCTGGGTGGCTCAGTTGGTTAAGCATCCAACTATATTTTTTAAAAATTTTTTAATGTTTTTTTCTTTTTACTTATCTTTGGAATAAAGAGAGAAAAAAAACACACACGAGCTGGGGAGGGGCACAGAAAGAGGGAGACACAGACTCTGAAGCAGGCTTCAGGCTGTCAGCACAGAGCCCAATGCAGGGCTTGAACTCGCAAATGTGAGATCATGACCTGAGCCAAAGTTGGACACTTAACTGACTGAGCTACCCAGGAGCCCCAAGCACCCAACTCTTTGGTTTCGGCTTGGGGTTCCCTCTCTCCTTCTCTCTCTGTCCCTCCCTAACTTGTGCTCTCTCTCTCTCTTAAAATAAATAAATAAACTTAAAAAAAATCTGTTGGCTTGGACAACACATATTTCTTTTAGGACAAGGTAGGAGTAACAGTTAAGTATTGATCATCAGAGAGCAAGAGATAGTTAGCAGAGATAACCCCTTCAAGGGTCCTGCTAGCTGAATTAAGAATCAAATTGACTTGAGACAGATTAACAGGAGAAAATCAAATTTAATAGTGTATATATGGGGGATCGACACAGACATGGAAGTTCTGAAGATGAGAAAAATGAGGTATATATGTCATCCTGAACTAAGGAGAAGAGGGTAGGGGTCAGGGACTTTGGAGGAAAGGAATGCATTTCACAGGATGGTAAGAAGAACAACAGATGTCTGGTAATTAGGTGTTTGCCCTACCATACAGATGGATCACTCAGGGAAATTTTATCTCTGCTAGGGACGCCTGGGTGGCTCAGTGGGTTAAGCATTCAATTCTTGATTTCAGCTATTCGGAGTCTTGATTTCAGGTTAGGTCATAATCTCACGGCTCATGAGCTTGAGCCTCCTGTCAGGCTCTGCACTGACAGTGTGGTGCCTGCTTAGGATTCTCTCTCTCTCCCTCTGTCTCTGCCTTTCCCTGCTCATGTACTCTCTGTCACAATAAATAAATTTAAAAAAAATCTCTGCTAATAACCCTTATTCAGGGAAGGACCACTAATTTCCAGTCTTGTCTGTAGTTAAGGGAAGGACAAAAGTTTTTCTTGAGCCTGTAGGGTTTCAGTTACCTTCAGCTCAGAATAATCTTCATGCCAAAGTGGCCCATCTTGGGGTGGCCTGCCCTTGGCCCCTACAGGATCATAAGGAGAAAAGAAGGAAAATGAATTGTATCTGAGGAGGCACACAGCCAGGAAGGGTCAAATACCCCCGGGCTATTTTTAGCATTTGTGGCCTAAGGTTAAGTTGCCCATAGCTACAAAAGCTTCCAGAACTACAAAAATAAATGATTGAAGAATCAAGGAAATTGTTTGAAAAACTTCCCCGATACTGTCTGGTTCCCTAGACACGGAGAAGAAAATTGTGGCCAATGTTGGAGCGGTCGTTCATACTTAAATGCACAACAGTTTTCAAATATGTATATATACTGCAAGCATTTTGGTTTTAGTAAAACAAAAGCATTAAGAAGCGAAAAAGGGGTTTGTTCTTCAAGGTCATGTACTCCAAAAGTCCCTTTTAAAGTTAGCTTGTGCCTTCCTTTTAAGGGAGCAGCAGCAATTGAGTCATCAGTTCACAAAGGCAGCAAGGCATGCAGTTTCCTGCCCTTGAGAGGCTTATGATCATGGGGAATGTTCTATCCCACTCATCTTTGTGAAAAAGAAAGGACTTTGGTTAACATGTGGCACGACTGCAAGTTCCCCGCCTGGCAAGGTTCAGAAGGTCAAGGCACAGCACATGCAGGTCTATAGTTTTGGTCTTGGACCACGGTGTCCCTGAAGGAGTCAGATTATTGTCATGCTAGCAATTAGGGAATTCTCAGATGAGTTGTTGTATTACTCAGAAGACTAAAAGCTCAGAGAAGGAACTGGAAGCTGTCACTATTAATCATATTTTTCTGCCATTTACTCATAAATCCCTTAACTTATCTTATTGGCCTTCCAAGCCTTTCATTTTAAAACCTCCCTAAAGACATGTGTTAAACCATTTGATGAATACAGAGCTTGCAAACCACCATTATCAGGTTTTTTGACAGGTACCCTTGCCAGGCCACACCTCTGTGCAAGTAACTGAAGCATTTTTTCTGCCACCATTACCTTTTGTTCAGTATTGTTGACATAATAAAAATGATGTCAGAGCCCGCCAATGGGTGGTGTGTATTAGGATAGAAAACCTTTCCTGTCTTCCATTCTAGGTTCTTTGGCTCATCTAATAATTAAATTGGCATAAGACAGATTAACAGGAGAAAAACCAATTTAATTCCGTACATATGGGAGCCCCAGAGATAAGAGATTCAGGGACAATCTCATGGCTTATCTGCCATCCTGAGCTAAGGAATGGGGCAGCGGTCTGGGGCTTCAGAGGGGAGGAGGGTAATTCATAGGACAATAAGCTGATGTTTGACTATACCTCTACTGTATAGTCAGGTCTTTCAGGCACAAAGTTATCTCAGGTACTAGATTTCTTTCTGAGCCAGGCCCCTTATCTAATTTCATTTAGGTAGTTAAGGGAGAGGTAAACAGTTTTCTTGAGACTGCTGTGTCTTGATTGCATTTAGTTCAAAATCACCCTCATGCCAAAGCAGCATGTTTTGGGATGGCAAAACCTGTCCCCCTTCTCATGGATTCTTGGAGATATCACTCACATGTATCAAATGAGTCTTTCTTTTGTGTGTGTGTTTTTATTTATTTTTGAGAGAGAGAGAGAGAGTG